AGCCAACACACACCGTCTCACCCTTTCAGTTCGTTTTCCTGACATTTATTTTGTGGCGCTGCGTGCTGAAGGTGCGTTTGTGTCGGCAGCTTGCTGATGGGGGCTTTTTTTTCCTTTTGTTTTATTTTTCTTTTTTTTTTTAAAGATTTTCAGCGTTTTCAGTGCCCTCCAGGAAGGAAGCATCGGCTTTTCTGTAGGACAATGGGAACTTAAAGTCCTCCATTAATGCTTCAGAGCATTAAATATAAGTGGTTGTCTTTCATATTGTCTCACTATATCCCCTTCTATTATTCCAGCTCTTTTTATGTGTAGAGATGCTCATTTATTTTTCTGTGAACTTTCTATTTCGATCGAGTCAGCATTTCTGGGGGTTTATGGTAATTATGTCAGAATAAACTGCGAATTTGTTTTAGCGTTTAAAGGCGTACAAGAAATCGTGACCATAAACAAAGGTCAGCTTTCTTGGTGGAACAGGCAAATAATCTGGGTCTTGCTGTCCAAGCAAGATTAAGTTAACCTATCAAAAAATAAAAAGTTTGTAGCTGACAGTGCTGATCAGGCAGTCTGTGCCCCTGAATTTGTCTGGTACTCTCCGGGTGGTGCTTGTACACCCTTTTTTTTTCGTTCCCACTTCATTCTTCTGGTGATTGGTTTCTGGACACTGTTGCCAGGCAGGAGATAAAAGGAAGCCGAATTATTAGATTTAATCTTACACAGCAGACTTCGTACAGATCATTTACTGCTGTTAAAGAGCCACCTCTTTCATTTTACCTAGGAATCATGGTGGAAAGCGTGATTTCATTACAGATCTTGCAGGCAGGCCTTGAAATGGCAGCAGTTGCAATTGTGTGAGTGTTCAGAGGCGGGATTATAAATTAAAGCAAATTAACCTCTGCTTCTCTGTAAGGTGAATCTGACAATCTTGCCTACCCTTCTGTAGGTAAGATTTGTCCCTGCATTCAGCAGTTGCTACGAATGGACCAGAGACCCTTGTTTCTGGGAGACCATGTTCTTAAGTGCTGTAATGAGTATGTGAATCCCTTTTCTGGAAGAGAGGCACGTGTAACATATAAAACGTGTGCAAGTTGAATAGCATATTGTGGTTTTTTTTTTCCCCTTCTAGATGATGACAATTCAGAAGAAGGCCTTCACACCATCCATTCAGGAAGGCACGAATATGCATTCAGCTTCGAGCTTCCACAGACGTAAGTGCCTGCACGCAGTCCTTGGGCTGTGCTGCCCACCCGCCTGAGCAAAACTGCTGTGGGTGGAGGGGAAACCTTTTCAATGGTAGTAGGAATTGTGCTCTAACATGCAGTGGAGGGCATAATCTTGTTAAACTGGAGAGGTTGCTTTTAAACTGATAGACACTTCCATTTTTTTTAATTTCCACAAAATGGGAGCTCACTGCTGCCTAGTTGCTCACCGTCTTTTGACCAAGTCCTACTGACTTAATAGGTCTTCAATATTTTACCCTTTCCCAAGAGGAGGGAGAGGAATTTGAAGTACTGCAGAGTGGCTGAGATACCTTCTAACCCAGCCAACAGTTACCTGGAGGTATGCAGACCAGCAGAACTAGAGATAAGATCACAGCTCAATTGTTTGGGCTCAGTGTGGAACAGATACGGCAAGTTTAACTAGGTTTGAACAAAAGAGGAGATTGTTCTTGTTTAAATAGACTGTATGTACCCAGACTGGCCTTTATGCAGAAAGGCTGGATAGAAATAAGCGGAAGGATGGGCGGATGAAGCAAGAAAAACTCCTGTACCTAATCCCATTTGTCTCAGAAAGCAAAGGTGAAGCAAGAGTGAGAGCAGAAGTGTTAAGATACACATTGTTTTCCCACCCTCCCAAGTCTGAAATGTGTAATGTAGACATTGTGAATGGAAGATTGATATGTAGTGGAGTTACCAATGTGGAAATCGGCTAAAAACACAAGTTGCAATAAAACTAAATATGCAGGAACAGAGGGAGTCTCAACACGGATGGGAAAAGGAGCCTTTTGCTGTAAAAGGCAAGCAATGAAGTCATTAAGGTTGAAAAAAAAAATGGCAGTGTGTTATGTGAAATAGCTCCATACCTAGTATTAATAAACCATCTGATTGAGCAAAACCTACAGGTGATAAACACTTCTACAGGTCAGTTTCAAAGTGAACAGCACAGGACTTCACAGTAAATCTTACTGGAGCAGTGGAGAAGACCTGTATATTTGGAGATTTCTAAAGGCAATTTAGCATCTGTGAAAATCTTAGCTACAAAAAGAAATAAGGCTAATACTGATTTTTTTTTTCCCTTGAGTTGCAAGGGGCATTTAAATATTAAAAACATTTTGAAATGAAACAGATAGCCAGCAAAATATCACAAGCATTAGTCAAAGCGCAGGTGCTTCTTAAGTGACCTGAAGGAGTAACTGTGACACCAGCTCTTGATGATACTAGAAAAAAACCAAAAGGCTGGTAGTAAAAGCCTGAAGTTTGATACTGCCTACTTGTTGTTTTCTGTCTGTAGAATACTTCTAAAATTTACTTAAACTATAGACCAATACTGGAAAGAAAGACACACACATGCCTTACTGATTTCTGCTGTAAAGAATGTGGGACGGCATGAAACATTGAGGAAGGATTAGAGAATCGTTTCGTTTGGATTATTAGGGGGAAAAAGTAAACATTTCAGATGTGAAATAGCAAAGTCAAACCTACAACCGAAATAACCACTCTAGTAAAGTACTAGCATGGCTAGTAGTATTCCCTATGGCAGATACAGAAGCTTTACAAATAATTTATTTTTAATTTATATATTACAGTGTTTTCAAAACAGAGTAGTAAAATTTACTTCTGTAAAAATAAGGGGAAAATAAGTTATGGAAAACTGCTGTTAATTGGAAATAACTGGAATGTAAAGATCTTCTCTCTTTCACTTTGTGATGTTACAGGGAAAAAAAGGTGATACTGAAAGGTTTGGAGATCCTTTCCGCATCGTTTTTCCTGTCTCCCAAAAAAGACTTCGTCTGTCAAAGTTCAGAGCAGAATAGTCTTGATGATTTTATATATATATGCTTATATATGTACATTAGTATATAGTATAAGTGTTTTAAGCTGGTCTCATCAGAGTAGAGGAAAATTAGAAGGTACCCAAAGTAGCCCCTCTCTTCAGAACTCTAAATTGAAATATTTACTCTGCTTAAGGTGAAACAAACTACAAAAGTGCTGAGTTAAAGCTAAAATTAACCTGACACTGAGATACCAGCCAAGTAAAGAGTAGACAATGATCTACAAAATGCAATATCCAAAACAATAATTGGTTGATACTAATGCTGATTTTAGGTCAGTTGTTGTAACTTGGCCTTAAATGGGCGTGCTTTACTCCAGATGTGAAAGTGGCCTCTTAAGTTTAAAGGAAATGTGTACTGTCCTGGCATTTTCTAGTACAATTCTTTAATTGATTCTTAAAATCTATGCAAAACTATAGTAGGATGAATTGGAGATGATTTTTTCTCCCATCTTTAATCTTGAATTTTTGAGATATGGAAACTTTGCAAATAAGTTGTGCTGCATTAAATACTACAATGCATTAAAAATGCAGTTCTGCATATTAATCCCTGATCTGATCGATTGTGTCATTATTAGACAGAAAGACTTTATTCAATTTTGACCTTTGTGTCCTGCACAGACCACTTGCTACCTCATTCGAAGGCAGACATGGCAGTGTGCGCTATTGGGTGAAAGCCGAATTGCATAGGCCTTGGTTTCTACCAGTAAAATTAAAGAAGGAATTTACAGTCTTTGAACATATAGATATCAACACTCCTTCATTACTGGTAAGAATTGACAGAATTACTCATTCTTTGTTTCTGGCATAAAAATAATGAAGTATAATAACTGAAACAATATCCACATCTAATTTTACGTAATATTTATTCACTAGTTTAGTTACAGCTGATCTTCTAAGTATTACATCAGTTCGGCAACTCTGTAACTACTGGTATTTTGAAAGCTGCGTTTTCCTGTACTTGGAGTTGCTTCACTTAAGATATGTAAAATGCCTTTGTCAGTTTAAATTGATAATACTAAATTGTAAAATGTCATTAAGGAAAATTTTGAGAACTGTTCCTCTTCAATTTTGAATAAAGAATAATCTGTGGAAGGAACAGTGAAACTTTAATATTACAGTGCGAGACTGCTAACTTAAAAATGCAAAGTAAAAAATGTACTGGTGTGCATAATTGATAATTTACATATGGATAGTTTTTTTACCAATGGGGAGAAATTATCACAATTCTGTTTAGTCTTTTCCCGAAATGTCACTTCATTTAAATAATTTCAATATCACAACTGCTTTCAATGAGGATTTGATTTCAATCTGGCCAAAAATTCTTTTTCTTTTCCTTCTCTTCCTCAAATTCTAATCTATGGAAGGGAGAAAAAAAAACCTCAAAGTCCATTGAAATAGGTTTCTTGTGTGTATGGGTGAAAAATCAGACTTGCAAAGGGGCATTGGCCTTGCAGAAATTCCATTAAGATCAAAGGACTCCCACTTTAATGGGCTTTGGATGAAGTCCTAAATCCTGATACCGTGTAAAATAACAAAATCTGTTTCATATAGATGAAACAGGATCGTTCAGAAACAGAGGAAGTAGCAGGAGTCAAGGTTACAGCACTTCATTTCAGAAACAATAACTAAGCTACAGTGTACTGGAAAGATGTTCTAGTTTACTGATAAATTAAAAGCGCTCTCAATTTGTTGAGATATGTAGGCTATAAAGCCGTAATTCTTAAGTTACACAGTACTTCAGTGTAAAAACTGCTTTAAGTGTGACTGTAGTATGAAGTGTAGCAGAAAAAGCGGTGTTAATGAGTAATGGATTTGGAATAAACATTATCTGCATAGTGCCATTTAAATTGCTCGAGTTTTTTCCTCCAAATAAAACTAGCTGTGTTTCTCAAAATATGTAATAATCTACACAAAAATTTTCATAGTGTACTTAAAATAGATGGAGATTCATGGAACTTTTAATTAAGTGGGCAATGTTGTTCTTTTCTTGCAGTCACCCCAAGCAGGCACAAAAGAAAAGACTCTCTGTTGTTGGTTTTGTACCTCAGGCCCAATATCCTTAAGTGCCAAAATTGAAAGGAAGGGCTACACCCCAGGTACGTAATAGAAGTAATTATAGGAAATGTTTTTCCTTCCCTTTTAAAATGACTGTACTTACTGCTTCTATGTAAATGAAATATTTAAACTATTCTTACCACCTCAGTCTGCATTCAGCAATCTTCTTGGTATTTTCTTAACTATGACTAATTTTGGTAACTAATGCTGACTTTGTCTCCAGATTGTCAAAGGACATGTGCTTCTATTAGACGTGTGCATTTTTCATTTGGATTACCTTGTGGTGATCCTATTCCGGTTAGCATCAGTGGATGTTTCTCAAGGTAGAGCATCACTAGCGGTATCCAGTGCAATGTGGCAGTACACAGAATGTGACAGTTCGCTTAAGCTGTCTTGTGAGTAATAAAGAGAACATGAAATTCTGTTTTGTTTCAGGTGAATCAATTCAGATCTTTGCTGAGATTGAGAACTGCTCTTCCCGTGTGGTGGTGCCAAAGGCAGCCATTTACCAAACACAGGCATTTTATGCCAAAGGGAAAATGAAGGAAGTCAAACAGCTTGTTGCCAACCTGCGTGGGGAATCCTTATCATCTGGCAAGACAGAGACGTGGAATGGCAAGCAGTTGAAAATTCCACCTGTTTCCCCTTCAATCCTCGACTGTAGTATAATCCGTGTGGAGTATTCACTGATGGTATGTTGGATGGACTGTTTCACTTGAGCATGAGTAGTTTCCGTCGATCCTTGCAAATGGCTAACAAAGCATTCTGTGCTAACTAGTTACAAAAGAAATACATCCCATAGTGTTAGTGTCCTGAGAGATCTGTAAATAAATTCAGTTTAAATCATGCATGTTCTTAAAACAGTTGTGGTATGCCAGCTAAGCACACATTTTACGAGTAGGTGACACTTCCATTTGAGGGCTTATGTCAAGAATCCTGAGCTGCTTTTGACTCAGGGAGCTTTTTGTCTACATAGGGGCATCATCCCTAAAACGGACAATAAAAAAAACTCTTTAAGTTCCTTGTGGAAAATTCTGTGGACAGAGAACTTAGTCTAATAATTATGAAGTGCTGATACAAACCTACATTTTAATCATATGCCTTTCTTATTGTTCATTAGGTGTATGTTGATATTCCGGGCGCCATGGATTTATTCCTTAACTTACCACTGGTCATTGGTACCATTCCTCTGCACCCATTTGGTAGCAGAACATCGAGTGTGAGCAGCCAGTGTAGCATGAACATGAATTGGCTTAGTCTGACACTGCCTGAAAGACCAGAAGGTAACTTAACAATACAAATCTCATTCAATTTGCGAGTGTTTTGATTTTTGTCTGCTTTTATTTATTGCTGTCGTGCAAACAGACCCAAATTACATCCTTCATAACAAAGCCCACAGGAAATCCTTTCTGGATGTTTCCTTGCCACCTGCTTGTCCTCTGTAGAAGAAGAGTTCCCTCCCGGCCTTCCCCTCTCAAAGACAAGCAGTGAAATCCAGCTGCTTGGAAGCTGGCACAGGCAAAAGCACAGGATGCCATTGCACCTACGCAGAGTTAATTCTGCCTCCAGTGTCCCAATTGAATCCTTGGTTATAAGGCATTGTAACCGTCAGAATAGCGATTTGTGGTGTCCTTTCCCAGCCTTAGCAGCCAAGGGTTTATGTAAAGATAATGTAATTCATTTCAGTGGGAAATCTCTCTTGTTACAGGAGAAACTTTGTATCTCCTGTCCTCTGTTTGCACATATCTAATAAACATCCCTTTTTTTAATGTAGCAATCTCAGACTCGGATTTGTGGAGTCCAGTGGAAGGCAATGTTCTGTCATTCCTACTTGTACAGAACTACAGTCTTCTGGAGTGTGCTTTAAATTTTAAGGGCATAATGAATCTACGGTGAGCAGTGGTCAGTCTGCTCTTGGATTTGAACGTAATCCTAAAATAAAACAAAACAGCCTACCCTCCCTTTCGTGTTCAGCTGTTAAGTCACTGAAGTCATTGACGTACCTGCTGGTGCATTTTACAAAAAAAGTTTAATATTTATTATGTTACATATTTTGACATGCATAGAAACTTGTTGTTCAAGCAGTGTGCACCTTTTCCCTGCAGCACCTCCTAGCTATGCAGAAGTGGTCACGGAGGAACAAAGACAGTCCAGCCTTGCACCCATAGGTGCTTGTGATGACTTTGAGAGAGCGCTTCCAGGACCATTGTTTGCATACATCCAGGAGTTCCGTTTTCTGCCTCCACCCCTCTATTCAGAAGTAGGTGCCTCTGACAATATTATGATGATTAGTTCACTGTTTTTCTGAATTTGGTCTGGTGGAATAAATATAGAAAGCTGTTTCTCCTTTGTAAAATCAGGAAAAATCATTAAAATTATGAACAGGGGATAAGGAGATGTTGTTTTAGCAAAGTGCAGGTGAATTGGATCAGGAGTTTTCAGGATTCTTCACAACTCTAATGCTTTGTAGAAATTTCCAAACCACTGTGTACCCTCTTAGAAACTTCATTAAAACCTTGCATTACATATGTAATACCTTGGGTTGGTCAGCACCAACATTTTGGGTCTGTAAGTGCACAACATGCTAATGTTTTTCAGCTTTACTTCTGTCTAAAACTACTCTGCATTTTTGGTTCTGTGTATGTAGTGCTTTCAGAAGTTCTGTGTAAAAAGTTACTAAGCTATGCTTTCTGACTTCAGTTTCTGTAAATACACAATTCTCTAACTTCTGGCTGCATTTTTAGTCTGTGAAAGCCACTCAATAACTGAGATGTAACTTCAAAAGCTTTCCATGTTCATATTTTTCAGCAAAAAGCAGTGGTATAGCACAAAAGTAAAAGTGTCCTTTGGCTAAATCTTGCCTGAATTCACCTATTGTTTTTTTTCTTCTCTTGAAACACTAATCTGCTTTGAGTGGGTGGAGAGTGGCATGGTTTTTGTGGGCTGGGCACCTCTCTGAGGTCTCTTCAGTAGCTTGACCCTGGAATACAACTCAAGCCCTTCTCATCTTGGGTAGTTAAAGATTTAGACAGAAGCTTTTTTTTTGTCCCCAAAAATGGCTATATAAAATCAACTGATTTAGTTGACTAAACTATCTACTGTCCACTTAAACTATGCTTACTATCTAGTTTTGGAGACCCAAGTTAGCAGGTTGTTCCCCTTCTTCCTTTTGTAGAAAGGAAGAGATAAGATGTGGAACACATGAACTTCTAAGACATTTTTAGGGTATTTCAGGATTGATTACTTGTAAATTAAAAGTAGAATGACTTTTTACTGATAGCTGCTTCTGAAGCAGTGCATCTTCTGAAATCACAGAATTGATTTGTTTGCAAGAGACCTCTGGGATCATCAAGTCCAACCTTTGCCCTAACACCACCATGTCAACTAGACCACGGCACTAAGTGCCACATGCAGTCTTTCCTTGAACACCTCCAGGGATGGGAACTCCGTCACTTCCCTGGGCAGCCCATTCCAATGCCTAATGACCCTTTCTGTGAAGAAATACCTCCTCATTTCTAGTCTGAACTTCCCTGGTGCAGTTTTGGACTATGCCCTCTTGTCTTGTCACAAGTTGCCTGGGAGAAGAGACCAACCCCCACCTGGCTACCCCCTCCTTTCAGGTCGTTGTAGAGAGCGATCAGGTCTCCCCTCAGCCTTCTCTTCTCCAGACCAAACCCCCCCAGCTCCCTCAGCCGCTCCCCATCAGACTTGTGCTCCCGACCCTTCACCACCTTCGTAGCCCTTCTCTGGACTCGCTCCAGCACCTCAGGGTCTTTCTTGTGGTGAGGGGCCCAAAACTGGACGCAGCACTCGAGGTGCGGCCTCACCAGTGCTGAGTACAGGGGGATGATCACTTCCCTAGTCGTGCTGGCCACATTATTCCTGATAATATTTTTTTATTACATATTTAAGTTAAGTCTTTAGTGATGAGTCAAGTTGTCTTTTTAGTGTACAGTAAATTAAAAAGATTTCTATGCTACTGAAGCAGATCTTTTCAAGTTTATTAGTTCTTTGTGCTTATCCTTAAATTACCATCGATCTTAGTTTAAAATTTTCTACTTAACTTAGTTACTATTTTTTCATTCCAATTTTTGTGTAATTGGCTAGGTTTTTTCAGTCATTTGGATAACCTTCAGATTGGGAATGCCGTTTATCACTGATTGTCTGAAACTTGTCAGTTTTGATGTGGGTTTTGTTTGGGTTGCTGTATTTCTAGCAATTGACTCTAACAATGCCTTGGCTATGTTTTTCTCTTTTTGGTTAGATTGATCCAAACCCAGATCAGCCCACAGATGACAGACCATCTTGCCCCTCTCGTTGAAGGAATCCATAAAAAGCTGACTTGGGTTTTGAATCGTACCTGCCGTGTTGAAGGTCAAGGCATCATAGTGGAGACACACTTTCAGAGGAGGTGGCTTTGCTCTTGCCTATATGGTGAATAAATGAAAACAACCTGTGATCATGCTTTGCAGCCTACAGTAACATTGTAGGACTGCTCCACATGCTTGAAGACCTGAGCTTTTTTTTTTTCCCCCTCCCCTTAAATACTGGCACATACTAGGAGCAGCCTTACTAACCTACAGTCATGTGTGTCAAAACACTCAAACTACGTTGTAAGAGAGGGATGGCTTCCTCTTATGATTTGGAAGTTTGCACATGCTCATTGCTTACGTTGTGCGGTTCAGTGTCACTACAGCTTTTTCTCATTTATGCTGGACTGTTGTTACCCCCCTCTTACTTGTTTGTGGTCCGCACAATAAGGAGCAAAAGAAAGCTTTGACAAAAAACAACAGCAACAGACTTTGACAAATGCACTGACTTTTTCTTTTTTTTTTTTAATTTAATGTAGCCTGGACTTTACCTGCATATGCACATGCTCAGAATTGTCCTAGTAGGTTGATCGTGTATCACCTCTTCAGCTTGGATCCTATGGTGGATTTATTTACAAACATCAAATGCCTTCAAGCCAATCCTTCTTGCTGTATGTTTTGCAGCCTACTGTAGTAGATAAGCAACAGATGTGGGGCTGGGATAGGGGGTGGAGAGTTAATAGAAAGAAACTAATAGACTTCAGCCAGATTGTATACCTTCTTGATTTCTTTTCAGAATTTGTTGCCTTTCTACTATTACCGCAAAGCAGCATTTTGTTACAGACTGCCTAAAAAAAAAATCACTTAATCTCAGGTGAACTCATCACTTGCCAAACTGTTGGAATGCTATTTGTTTTGTTATGTTGCACTGTTGAGTTACTTCTTTTTTTTTGTTTGGTGTTTGTGTTTTTTGTTTTTTGTTCTTTATTCGGGAGGGGGATCTGGAATAGGGACATACACAAAAGCTGCAAAACCCACCCTCATTCCCATTTCTCTTTCTACAATATATAAAAAAATATGTTCAAGTTGTGAAGCTTTAAAAAAAAAAAGGCACAAATGAAAGCAGCACCAGCAGACACCAGCTGAGCCTCAAAAGAATTTTAAAAGGAAATAGTCATACACTGTCTAGGATTCATAGACAGATCAGTATCTCAAGTAGTAGGGATGGGAAGGGAAAGCAAATTTATTTTTATATATAGTTACCTAATCACCAAAAATTCTATATGTAATGAGTCTCTAGTAGAAAGTATATTTCAAACTGCAGGAAAAGCTTGGACTATGCTAAGAGCTCAGTTTGTGCACTTTGTATTATCTTCAGGGTTTATGATACTGTAAAAATAGTAAGACTAGAGGTATAATTAAACTGGGCCAGATCAGTGTTACCAGCCATACTCAGATATGAGTTAGCTAGAACTGCTTCCATGATTGCATCTTCTGTGGTACTCTCAAGAGCTTTAAAACAAGGAAAACGGCAAATTTTACTGTATACTCATTCAGAATGTGGGAAAAAAAAAAACCAGGTTGCCCAGAGAGGTGGTGGAAGCCCCATCCCTTGAGGCGTTCCAGGTCAGGCTGGATGGGGCTCTGAGCAACCTTATCTAGTTGGAGATGTCCCTGCTCACCGCAGGGGGGTTGGACTCGATGACCTCTAAAGGTCCCTTCCAGCCCAAATGATTCTGAAATCACATGGAAAGAGCACTTGCCCTTGAGTGTGCCCCAAGGAGAAAAAGAGTGCAATGGAGCTGGTAGATGTGCTAGTACAAATCCCAGCACTTCACATGCTAGAGATTTACAACAAAAGTCAACTTTCCTTTTCAGAAATAAAGTAACACAGACCACTGACAAAGGGACACGCTTCTGATGTTGAGTAATTAAACAAATCGGGATGTAATCCATCAAGTATCTATCTCCTTGTGCAATAAAACAGCTCAGAAGGGAGCAGGAGAAGGAAGGCTGGTGTTTCTGCATGGTGCTCGTTCTTAAAAACCTCTGCCTTGTTTTTAAGGCTTCATAAATGCGACAAAATAGGCTTTTCCCATAAGTGGCCTTTATGAGAACATGAACAATAATTCATGTTTCAAAAATGACAACAGGGTGATAAAATGAGTCGCGTTTTAAGTGATTCAATTAAAAGGCTTGGGCTTTGAGCAAGAATATTGGACGAGAAGGAAATTGGGTGATGTCTTAGATTATTAGACCAATTTTGTGAATGTCCCTTCCCTCTACCCTCTCCAACCAGACAATTTTAAAAGCTGATGGGATCGTTGGCATAAAAGGGCATTTGGTGGTTTTACTTTTTTTTCCTTTTTTGTTACTTTAACAGACTAGGGAACAATTGCTGATATACATAGCGTTAAAATACTTATCACAATATAAATTGCATATGAAGCAGGATTGACCAATATCGTAGTAATTGACATGGCATCACAGCCTTTGTGATTAGAGTGAAAAATTCTGTAGCCTTATCAAATAAAGACTTCCAGTTTAAATTGCGTTGTTAGTTGTTCAGAGGCATTACTCTTCCACAAGTATTGGTCAATTCTCAGCATTATAAAACATGAGGTTCACAGTTGTAGCCCAGTATTTGGTATAGAATTCTGATCTGAATTAGGAAAAAGTAAGTAAAATCCAAACATTAGAGAAACAAAGTGCAATATTAAATGTTTGCTTTATAGATTATATTCTATGGCTGTTTGTACTTTTTTTTGTTTTTAGTTTTGGTGCTGAATTATGTCCTTGTAGACTCTGTTTCAAGAAAACAATATGTGGAAAACAGTTTAATTTTTCCTATTGCTCTTCCTTGTGAAAAATAAACTTTTGTAAAAAAAAAAAAAAAGCTTTTAAATGTCCTGACTATGTGTAAAATAATAACTGCAAGGATCACATAATTCAGGAACTTAGTACAGGAACACATACTACGTGTCTCAAACTATGTCGGGAAAAATATGAGGGAGAACTATACCACTGAGTACAGTGAAAGCCAAGTTTTGGCACCCTCAGACCCTTTTATTTACATCGGTGACCTCTCGAGGCCGGGTCCCGGGTGGGAAACTGCCATTTCTGACACGGGGAAATGCCGGTACCTGGCAGGATACGCATGCCTTTCCAGGGCTGTCTGTGTCTCATCGCAACTGTGGTGACCCTCATTGCAGGCATCGCGTCCTTTCCAGGACATACGGCTGGTGGGCAGGGAGGGGGCAACAAATCATTTTGGTGGAGGTGGGGGAGGAAATTGGGGTAGGGGAGTGACTTCAAAGGTCTGGTTTGCGGCCAGGACTTTGAAACGTGGTTTGGTGAGGGTGGGGTGGAGAAGGTGCCCTTTGCCATTTCCCTCCGGCAGGTCCAGCATGACCAGATGTTGAAAATGTCCGCCTGCCATCCCTGCCCTGCCCGGTGGAGCTCTGCGAGGTGTCCGTAAAGCTCCCCAGCGTGCCAGCAATGAGGCGCTGCCGTGGCATCTCGCTTCCGCATACCACGCACAGCTGAACCTCTGACAAAACGGATTGTCGTCATCCTTCAGTATCAACATGCCGTTTGACCTAAGAGAAGGTTCAG